AGGAAAAGATAACCACCCGTTTACGAAGAAAAATTTCCTCGTAAATTAGCTACGACCTTACGAGGAAAATGGCTTTACGATGAATGTGTTTCGACGAAACGTGTTTCCTCGTAAGGTCCTAGTAAATGGTCATTTACTAAGAAATAACGAGGAATACTCATCCTAATAATGGACGAGTTTTCTTGTAGTGCTAGGTTGGAGAAGAGTTTCCACTGGCTACACTTTGTCGCCACGGAGGTCAGGCTATAGATATACAAAATTGAAACCTAGATCTGGTATTTTCTCCAATTTTAAAAGCCGACCTCTTCTCCCATCAGCCACACCACAATCTCGTCGCTTTTCTAGAGTCATAGTTGCATCATCTTTGACCTTCATGGCTCTCTGGTAAAGAACGAGAGAGCCAAAATTGTTGACATATCGAATGAGATTGAAATAAATAAGATATGAGGCAAAAAGAAAAAGAAGGAAGGGAAGAGGAGGCTGCCTCCGGTACCGGACCGGCACCGGAGCGGTTCGAAGAGCTTTGCGGACGGAGAACTTTGAGAGTGTTTGTTTTGGAGAGCTAGCTGTGACTTCTATTTTAATATATAAGATTTGAAAGATAGATAATTGAAAAGACATAAAAGTATATTAAAAAAAAAACTTTGAACAATGAAACTTAAATATAGAATTTCATTGTTCAAAATTTGAAATTTTGAAGTTGTTTTTGAAATAGAAAAAACTTCATAATTAAAGTTTTGAGGTTGCTTTTGGATACACTCTAAAAAAATAATTATTTTATAAATATCTTAAATTTGTGATTAAAAAAACACTCTAAACTAACTCTCATAGATCATTTATACAAGTTTATAAACTATATTCCAGCTTTGAAATACTGAACTCTAGACAGTAATTACTAAGTATTAAACATAAATATTAAAGTATTTTTGATTGAGTGTATTTTTGAAAATGGTAACCAACTTATGATATTTCAAATAATTTCTAAAAATGCATGTAAATACAAATTATACATACCCTTTTCATGTGTTCTAGTTGAAATAAGTATTTTCTATATTAGTTATGAGTGGTAATAATATCATGTAGTTCAACTAGTTTTAATTAATTATTAATTAATAAAATGAAAAATAAATATTTGGACACAGCTAGTAATAAAATCAAAAATAAGTTGCTTACAATGATGTGGTGGTTTAACATGTATTTTAGCATATAATTATTTTTAAAATATGTGTTGTTTTTTAAGCTTTTGTACAGTTATTTTAAATAATAAAGTAAAAAGTAATGGAAATATATATAAAAAAATAGTTAATTCATATAGTTCAGGATTATATTAATTTTGTTAGGTAGTTGGTGGGTGAACTTAAAAAATAGTCCATGAATTAAGGAAGAATTTCAATTTTACCAAAATTTCATATTATTTTTTAAATTTATTTTTGAATGATAGTTATTTTAATAAATTCTCTAGGTTTGTGATATATTCCTAAGCTAATCTTCCGATATTATTTATAAATGTTTAAAAATAATTTATAAGATATTTATAAAATTTTATAATTTCATCCTCATCTTTTACATATTAAATTTTAAATAATAATTACTAATCTTTCATTTACGTATTTAAATATTTTTTTAAAATTGTATTTTTTAAAAAAGTAGTAGTATATCAAGCAATTTCTCATGAATTATTATAGTACTCTAAAAACTGTGACAACTATTTTTTAAAAGAAACAAATAACAAGTAAATATATTGATCGGTATATCAAAACAAATTTCTAGAAACATCATTGACATCCACTTTTGAATGCTTTATTTACACTCTTAATTTAGGTTATGGCTGTATAGTATTTATTGAGTAAAGGTGAGGGGTAAAAAAAGTGATTACTCTAATTTTCTCTATTATTTACCAGTCATGTGAAAAAAGAAAGAAATATTATTTACTAAAGTAATCATGGCATTTTGTCTTTTCTTATTTATGTCATATTTCTCTTTTTTTTTTCTTTGACAACTATTTCTCTTTTTCTTTAGTAGGATGAATGTGGAGTAACACAAACTTTAACTCAGACTTTTATTTTACTCTCCATCTCCTCTTATTATTATTTTTTCTTAATTCTAATTTATTTTGTGTATCATTATACTTTTATTCTAATATTATACCAGTCACACCATTAACTTGGTTCATTGAATGTTTGAATTTGAATACTAGTTTTTTTACAATAACGTAGTTAACTAAAATATTTTTACCCTTGTTAATTAATGCAAATACAATTTTTATGAATATCTTTTTCACATTTTTCTTAAATATTATGATTTAAACATAACTCTGTTTTAGAAAATTAATATCAAAATATTTCTTCAAAAATCAGAGTCATATTTTATTTTTTAAGATATAATTCTTAAACACCAAAGAATTGAATCTCTTAAATATCTAATTAATATAGTTATTCTTCTTTTTTTGCTAAAATTGATTCTTCAAACACTAAAATTGAACTTTAAAATTTAAATTCTTAACAAAATTGAACTTTAAATAAGTATCTGAGCAATTAAATTTTCTTTTGGTTCATTTAATATATAGTATAGATGATTAGACAGATACAAATATCTAACGCCAATTTAGGAAAAAAAAAATCTAACGCCAAGAATTTGGATTAAGAAGAGTTATCAGGAATAGTTAAGTTTAGTGACTGATCATATTCTTCATTGCTCTCTTTTGACCAAAATCATGTGGCAAAGAAAGCGAGTAGCTTATGAAAACATACACGAGGGTAGTTGCCCAAAGAAGGAAAAGATATTTCAATTTCAATATCAGTCAACTTCATAAACGAAATTAAGAACAATAAATAAAATAGATATTTTATGTGAAGGAGAAAAATTGTTTAAATATCTAGTCTAATATAACTATTTATCCATTTAGATTTTTTTTTACAACTGTCTCAAACTAAAGGGAAAAAGAACATAACTTTGGTTGCACTTTTTCGCCAAGTCAGCAAAAGTGTCTTCTGGGATGCTCGAAAGGTCGGACACGTGGCCGAGTGTTTAGGAAAGAAAGAGAAGATAAGCATATGAATGGTTTGCAATCCACTCGAATTCATTATTCAATTATCAAAAATTCGTAGCCCACTCGTTCGGTGATCTAAGCTTCTAGGTTTTTGTTTTTCTAGATAATAATATAATACTAATACCGGCAATACTGGCGTTGAGGCCACTGTGATGTTATTGGGTCATGTTTTTTTTTTTGATAAAAGTTATTGGGTACGTTTTCAGCCTTTTCTGATAATATGCTTTTCTGAATGGGAAAATGAATAGAATAGACATAAAAAAATTTTAATCACAAATATACACCCTAACAATCAAAATGACCAAAATGACCACTTAAATTTTTTATTAAATATATATTTTTACCTCTTGGGTTAACTAATTCTATATTTTATGTTTAGAATTGAGGAATGAAGTTTTGGGGATAGGTTTCAAATTTCAAAAAATAAAAAAATTTAAAATTTTCAAAATAAAAAGTGCTATTTTGATCATTTTAATTTTTGAGATCTATTTTTGTGATAAAAACTTAAAAGAAGGCTATTTTCGAGATTTTCCCTTTCTGAATTCTGTTAAAACTCATACTTAACAAAAAATAAATAAATTACAAAACCATACCTTTTGTCACTATATACCACTTACTAAAAAGCTTGCTAATACTACCTACTGTGGTGGGTAAAATATCTGTGAATTTGATTTGATCTTTTATCTGTTTCGATTCAAATAAAAGAAATTTCATATTCCTAAGTTTACGAGTCAAATCAATATTTAATATCCGGCGAAGACGAAATAAAATATAAATACTCATATTTTAAAATATGAATATCTGATTCGATCCGCTATATACCTATATATGCATGTATATAAAATTATATATACTACTTAATTTTTATATGTTTATATAAATTTTATATTATTTTTACTCACTAAATTAATTATTTTGTTACTATATTTTAAAGTATGTAATTGCTAAAAAGATTTGTACAGAAATATATTATTTTTATAGTAACATTTTCTTTTTTTATATTTTTTTCAGAAAATATTATTTTATTATTTTAACGATTCGAATCGGTTATTCAATAAACAATTACTGATTTTTCTGGATACTATTTAGTGGGTAAAAATAATAATAAAATTTTGGAGATTCATTTCATGCCACCCCTTATTACTTATGGTGTGACTGAAACTCTTTCTAGCGATAATCTTTTAGCGAGAATCCTTCTTACGTTCACTTTCATTTATATATGCCAATCAGGTGCCAATAATTTTATATCTTTTACACCAAATATTGTTTAAATGGAGGCATATAGTTCATTTTGTTCTATCACTGTAAATTTGTTTGGTTACTAGTAGAGTAAATGAAAATAACTAAAATTGAGTAAATGAAAGGGTTGTATGAAGACTGGGAAAGTGTAGAGTAAACAAATCTAACTATATTAAAAGGCCGATATAAGCGAAGGAGAAGCTGTCCACGTTGGATCAAATAATCAACCAATCAGATAGCCTAAATTTTCCATGTCACCTAATCCCACAACAAATAGAGTCGATTGATCGCTTTCACTCGCTTCATCTTCTCTGTTTCCCCTTCTCCCGATTTCATCACCATTAACAATCAAACCTACTCTTTCTCACCATCTCTTTTTTGCAATCTCCTCCTAGATATGGGTTTCCTTTAGATTTCGCCTCATCAACTTTCAATCACCTCCTCGATATTAAAGTTTCCTTGGAAGCGGCAGTATCTAATTCTAGATCGACAAATTGTTTTGTGGTTTTGTTTTCATCCTCCCCTAAAATAAGAATTAACATGAAGCCTTCGACAAGATAACTCAAAAAGATGAACAACATTGCGAGGGACAACAAATTAGTTCAGTTCCAGAGTTACTTCCTCTCAGCTTAATCGTCAAAAAGGTAAAGGATCAACCATAAAAAGGTGGCCTTATTCTCAATTATTTAATTGTTTTAGATTTAGATCATAAATGGATGATGTATCATGTATGTCAAAAAATCCCCGGCAAGGCCGTTGTCTCCTCTGATGTTCCGATGAAACATAGCAGCATAACCACATATAATGGGATTTGACAGCTAGAAAACTGTTGCATGAGTTCAAGATTCATGAAGGGAAAATTAAGAGTTTAGATTTTCACCCCCCATGAATTTCTTCTGGGAACATGTCTGTATCACACTTTCTAGGGAAACTTTGTAACTTTGTAACATATGAATTCTGTTTTTTTCTCGCTTGTGGTAATAGGTTCAGCTGATAAGACTGTAAAATTCTGGGACCTTGAAACATTCGAGCTTATTGCTTCTGGTGGAACTGAGGTAACATGTGTTGTCTTTACTAGCTCCACTTACGCATTGGGTCGAATTACTGATATTCGATCTTTCATTCAACTTTCTAATAGTCTCTTTTCTTAGATTACTGGGGTCGTTGCTTGACCTTTATCCCAGATGGAAAGAGTGTGCTTTGTGGAAAGTCTCAAGGTAATTTCTTCAGGACATTTCAGTTAAAGATATATTAGCTTAACAAATCCATCGTTGCAGGATTTAACCACTTAAATTTTACTCCTTTACATTTTTAATATACATGTTTGCTGTCCTTTCTTTCCCGCGTTGCAGAAGATTCAGCATAAGAACCTGAAATGCACAGATGAAAGTACTTCGGAGAAGAAAGTTGTGAGTTCAATAGCTGGGACACCTGTGCATTGGCACACTACTCTTGAAGAGGTACCAACAAGAGATACGCATGTTTCGTTACATGTACTTGGGAAGACTCTTAATAAAGCAAAAGTCAACGTAATTATGAGGCTATGTTTGGTTCTCATGGTATCTTTTGTTCTCTTTTTCAGTACCAACAATAATCATATCTCATGAGTTTTATGATGCTCTTCCAGTTCATCAGTTTCAGGTTAGTGTGGGTGTACCTTTCAGTATAGTCTTCTCCTTTTAGCTTAGTATGTGTATCTTATATGGACTCAAATCTCTGCAGAAAACTCCCAGAGGCTGGTGTGAGAAAATGGTTGATGTGGGAGAAGATTCTCAGTAAGTGCTTTGGAATTCATTGGTGGTATTTGCATAGAAAACTCTCAGAGTTAATAGATGAGTTGTTGGTTTATAGGTTCTATCCCCTCAGCCTACACATGCAGCCTTATATCTCGTGAAGCGTTGCACGTGGGCTACACCTGAGGAAAGGGAGAAGCTAGAGCATGTCAAGATCAGTCCCAAATCAATGGATTTGACTCAAGAAATAGCCAAGAGAATATGCTATTTTGGAGGTGGAGCACTTATAATCGTTTACAGGATGGATGGAATGATCTCAGACAGTCTTCAAGTTTGTGTCCTAACAAATTGGCTCTGATCAATGCTTTATAAAGTCTTTTGTGTCCTGAAACTATGGAATATGATATAATGCTATTAGAAAACACAAGTTTGTCAACATACTGGATGATTCTGGATCTGCGGATCTAAGTGCTTATGTTTATTTTCCTTCGATAAAACACTCTGCTGAGGAGGCTTCAGGTTCGTTCCTATACTCACTGCTCTTTCTCTCATTGTTATGAATTTACTGAAAACCAAATGAAAACGTGTGTGTATGTTGTGCAGAAAATGTGACAGTCCATGGACCAATCACACAGTCTCAGTTATTTGGTTCACTTGGAATAAACTTCAGAGTTGATGCGCTGCTAAAGAACTGCGACGATGAGCAAGCTGAGTCCTTGAGGTCAGGATACTGAGTCCTGTTGGAGATAGTGAAGCACCTTTCTGGGAGGACCTGATGAACAGACACCTATTGGAATGGGCACTAGGTATCTTGCAATGGCTATTGTCAACCGAAACCAAGACACTCCGGCTCGTTTCCAGTAACAAAGATTTATAATTTCAGACAAGGACACACCACTCTTTTCTTTTGTTTGTTTTTTTTTAACTTTGGCTTATCATAAATCAAAGGCTAAAACTAATCAAAAGATTTTGAATTTCAAAGCATATGAAGGATGACATATTTTGATTTTGGTTGAGAGAATATAAAATGGGAAAATCTCATAAAAGGATCTAAAAAAGTTTTTATGACCCAAAATAGTTCACAAGGAATAAAAATAACCAAAATAAATTCTATTAAATAGCAAAAATTTAAAATACTAAAGAACTTTAACGAAGTAATAGATTTAATATAAAAAAATTATTTAAATTAAAAATATGTATTTTTGTCTTCTTAATAAAATATTTTTTAATCATTTTTTCTGAATACTTTTTGTGATAATTATTTTTTTGATATTAGAAGGTATTTCTCATATAAATGGCTATTATTTTTATTGATATTAGTTTCCGGTAATTATTACATGTGTGATGATTATCCGATGTTTGACATTTTCTTAATCAGATTTGTTATGGAAAAACGTCCTCCAAAGAACCCACCATAGGATAAAGATGCAAAAGATGAGTATGAAGCCGTTGCAAGGAATTTGATGTCGTCTAAGAAGAAAATTTGCAAAGTTTATATTTTGATACAATATATTTGGTATCAAAATATATCGTTGAAACCATGGAGGAGACGACCTCATGAAGTCTCTTTGTTATATGACGATATCCTTATAATCATTGAGAATTACATTAGATTAGATGAGTACCCTTATTTATGGTTATAAAGTTAGTTCAGATTAGTATACCAATATCTTAAGAAGATACAGGAAACCTTTCATGTTATTTAGGTTAAGTCCTAAATATTGAATCTACCGTTTCAAATTCTCAGATTAATATTGAACTCTTTAAGGAAATTTATCAGTTAAATTTGCATTGATTAATGCATGCGGAATCAATCTGATTAGCCAAGTGATCAATGAATGCTCTGTTCATCTGGCGTGATGTTTGAACTGTATAATATGCAAATATTTTGTAAATTATGATGTTAACATTTTAAGAGCTCAAGCATGTTTTAATTTTAGTCGAGTTGATGGTAATCAATTGAACTATAATTGTGCTTATTGAAAGGAAAATCACTGTTTATCTATTGACTTGGAGAATATTAAACAATAGAAGATTCTTTTCAGTGATTTATATGGTTTTAACTCTCGGATCTCTCTATCAACGAATGGTCGAATATCAAACTTTAAAGATGAAAAAAGTTCAAATTTAAGCAAGTACCTCAACTGAAAAGTCACATATATGGAAAGAGCCGTTATGGACGTAATGTAAAATATTGATATATAATTGTTTGTGATCCCCAAAATTAAAATTTAATTTCAAAATTTTCCCAATTGTATATAATTTTCTGTGATCCTAAAAGTTAATATACATAACCACTGGTTTCCAATTTGTTTAGTATTTTTTTTAACAATTCTCTGTGATCCCTAAAATTTAAGAATCACCCTGTATATAGAGTATGGAGTGATGAAGAGTAAGTTCTATTAGTATAGTCTTTTGCATAGTTCTTTACTAAAGCTATAGCGACAATCAAAAGATGCTGTCTATTTCTTTTCACTGGAATATAAAAGTAAATCAGACTATCAGTAATTGTACATACAAATAAATAAGTTCAAAGAGAAGTAAATTCTAAAATAATGACAGCCTGAATTTGATGACATAAAAAAATTCTGAATTTTGGTGGAAAAATATATTTTTTGGGGAATTTATAGGGTGAAAGTAAAGTGATATTTCAAAGAATAAGAATCATTGAATACATTTTCTCTCATATACTTAAGGCTTGATTGATAGAGGTTGTAGTTTTGATTTTTTTGGTTTTAAAATTTAAGATGTAGGTTTGTGGCAGTAATTTTAGATTATATTGCTATAGATTTATTTTAAAGTTAAAAGCATTAAACATAAGGCTGTAGGAAAAAATAATTTCTGGAGCCAATATATTTGTTTCTATGATTTTGGGTTGTAACTTAAGATTTTTTTTAGTAAAGTTTGCTTTGATTGTTGCTCCAAAGAGAATTAAAGCTGTGTATAGCACTCATCATCATCATCATCAATGGAAAACACCCCATTAAATATTTAAATTACAATTATTTGGCTTTCAAACTTACATGTTAAATTTAATTTCCCTAATATTAATTTTTTTTTAAAAATTAGTAAATTTGATTAAAAGATATTATAAACGAACTATTTTACTAAGTAATATGATAAGTTACATGGCATGTTAGAAACATGTCTTAGAAATAAAATTTTTACTATTTTAGTTATTCAAGATTATTCATGACAGTTATTATTCATATCTCAGTACAAAATATTAGTCAATATTGATAAAAATTCATTCTATATTGTTAAAAGAAGAAACTCTGTATTTAAATAAAATTTAATCAAATATTTATTGCCATATTTAAAATTTGAATTATATTGTAGTATATACATTCTAAAATTTGAATTATATTGTAGTATATACATATCTACCTAATAAAAAATAACAATCACATGTGAAGAATTTAGATAAAAAATAAAACACAATTAGACACTATACACATACAGTGCATGTTTATTTCATTTGACTAAAGATTATGATAAAAATATTAATAATAGTATATATACATCAAATCACTCATGAGATATTTAAAAGGTGTGATATATTCTAAAAAAAAACATAAATAAAATTATACACAATTTATATATTTATATTGGTAGTTAATTAAAACAAAGTGTTGGGCTCGCATAAATGGGCGTAATTTTCTTACGAGTATTTATTATTATTTTTTATTAATTCCAAAATAATATCATAAGTTATTTTGTATAGTTTTAAAAAAACTATACAAACATTAATTTTTTTTTATATGACAAATTTTCATCAAAATATATATGCTTATTGTAGTGTTGAAAAACATCCACATATTAAAATATTTTTGAAAATATATTTATATTTGTTTTTAATATTTATTTTAAATTATTTTATATCTTACCTTCTTACGAAAAATATAAAGATTATCTCTTGATAAAAATATAATATTCTATAAGATATCTTATTTTTAAAATTTGCATTTATGTGGTCAATTATCCTATTAATTTATAATCAATTAACTAATATAATAACATATAAATTTATATCACTAAGATAAAGTTCGTTGTTAATTAATTTATATATAAATATATAAATTTTATTAAGGATATCATTGATTTTAATTGCTCCAATTTTTAATATTTAATATTTAATTTGCTTGATTAATATTTAATTATAAATCATTTTATATCTTAATTATAAATTTTATAATAGAATGATATTATTTCAAAAGCCAAAATCAATTATATATCAAATTAAGATATATAAGCATTATCATGTTGTTACACTATTATATTTAGATGAGAACAAAATATGTAAGAATTATCTTATTCTTGAATTTGTTTCCTTGATAAATTTATTTTATTAATTATTCTCAGTTATCTAAGATAATAATATACTAATTTAATATTATTTATAAATTCTGTTTTTAATTATATTATTAATTGCATATAAATTTCATTAAGGATATTATAGATATTAAACGTTATAAATTGCATATAAATTTCATTAATGATAGTATAGATATTAACCGCTCTAATTTTTAATGTGAGATTTTTGTTACGAAAAATCACTTGCAAGTAATAGTATAGAAATACATTATTATGTAACTATAGCAAAGAAAATGATACTATATTACAGTTACAAAATATATAGATTGTTGCTTAGAAGAAAATCAAAATTCCTTTACAAGTTTAAGGCAGCAAATATGATGCTTTCATGAAACTTCTTTTAATATTAGATCTACGACGGTATGGCTCTCCATATCTATATGGATTGAAACACCAATTTCTTTTTTACAGTTGTTGGATACAAAAAATAGAACCAGTGTTCATCACATTCTAAATTTATAAGTATATCCGCGCGTAGCGCTTACAAAATCTCTAGTAATAATAATTAGGTTAAGATATATGTGTCTTGGGCTGAATGAACATTAGTATAAAAATCAACACTATTATTTATTTTTTATTTTTACATATTATAAATAATAAATATACATTCAATAAATAAGAAGCAATTAAGTATTAAATTAAGGTAATCACTCTTTTCATCTACAATCTTGTAATGATAAATCCAAACAATCATATTTACCTATTTTCTATAGTATATATAGTTAATTTTAAATAATATTAATAAAAATATATAGTATATTTTTTTAATATGGTTATCTATTAAATACAACTTCATACTCATATGATTGTATGATCATTTGTACTTTCATATTACAAAATTTAAACTGCCGAGTACAAAAATTGCAATGTGTACTTTAATAATTTTGGTAATTATAATCATATTTAAAAATTCAATACAAATTAAAATATTAATTTCTCAATATCTTTTCAATGCAAAATTATGAACTACAAATATAATTTTTATATGGTATATGTACGAAATAACGCTACGCACTATGCATGTGGTGGGATAGCGCATAGCACCAAAAGTGTTAGTTAGAGATTATACAAAGATTAATCGAGAAGTAATTTTAGGGGTTTTGATATTGTCTTAGGGTTATATATTAAATTTGTGTAGTAAACACATTGTCGATGGTGCAAAAAAAAAAACACATTGTCGATGTGTGGTTGATATCACTCAAATTACCTTAAGGAGTGAATTACTCTCATCAAAAGAGGTTCAACAGTAGTACTTATGGATCAAATCCACAGAGACTCTAGGATTACACAAAAAATTATTTAGTTTTCGAAATAACGCTAGACAGCAAATCTTAAACAGTAACTTAAAAGATGAGAAAGT